TTCCCCAAATGATGGATACCCCTTTAGTTTCTACTTCTTTACCACCATAATATTTTTAATAGATGGGTCCTTTTCTCCTTTCTTTGATCTCCTTGGGGAATAGGCCTAGTAGTGGTATCACTGAGCCAAAGGTAGGCAGTTTAGTGACTTAGGGACATAGTTTCAAATTTTACAGAATGGCTGTGCCAGTCTACACAATGGACCAAGAGCACAGCAGTGTGCCTGTTTTCTCTCAGACCCTCCAACATTTGTCATTTTCCTTTTTGACAATCCGATGGTAGGCACTCGTCACCTCTCACCTGAACTATTTGCCTCTTAATTGGCATCCTTGGCTTTAAGTCTCTCTACTCTCCAATCCAACCTCCACACTATTGCCAAAATACTCTTCCTAAAGCATGGGTGTGACCATGCCACTCCCCTGCTTGACAAGTTCTACTAACTCCCCCTTGCTCCTAGGAATGCCCTCACTCCTCATGTCCTCCTCTTAGCATCCCTGCCTCCTTCAATGCTCTGTTTCACTGATTCCCCCAGGATATTCTTTACATTTATTTTGTATATAAATATTTGTTATTTATTTATCTGTGCACACATTGTTTCCTTCCCAAACAGCATAAGCTCTTTGAAGGCAGGTACGGTTTTGTTTATATCTTTCTATCCCCAGCACCTAGCACAGTGCCTGAGACATACATGGTAGGCATTTAAACACTTGTTGAATGAAAGATTGAATGACCAAATCAATTCTGGGAACAGGAAATGGGAATTCACTCCCCTGGCTGTGCTCTCTTCTAGATCATTACGTACAGAGACTTCCTCCCCCTGGTACTGGGTCGGGCCAGAGCCAGAAGAACTCTGGGCCGCTACCGGGGCTACTGTTCTCGAGTGGATCCTCGTGTCTCTAATGTCTTCACCTTGGCCTTCCGTTTTGGTCACACCATGATCCAGCCCTTTATGTTCCGGTTGGGCAATCGGTACCGGTCCTTGGAATCCAATTCTCGAGTCCCTCTCAGCACTGTCTTTTTTGCCAGCTGGAGAGTTGTAAATGAAGGTAATTTTGATTATCAGAGATCTCTGTTCAAGGGGGCGGGTGGGGATGGACCTCGAATGAGCAAGATTCAGTGTATCTTGCAGACCTCTTCTCTCTGAGAGAATGCAGACGAGGTTTCCCCCAATACCGATGGGCACATGTACCACTTCCCTCCACTGTCTAACCTTCCCTCCCAACAAAATTTTCTCTCCTATGGAAGCTAAGTGAGCCATGACAGGTGATGGATAAGGTTTTTAGATTACCATGGCTACAAATACTCGTAAGGTCCCTCTGACCACTGCTGCCCCCAGGAATAAGGTTTTTAAACATCAGTTCCTTTCAGTTATCTGTTCTCTCCCAGGTGGAATTGACCCCATTCTCCGAGGCCTCATAGCCACTCCAGCCAAACTGAACCGCCAAGATGAGATACTGGTAGATGAACTCAGAGACAAGCTATTCAGACAGTTTAGGCGCATCGGGCTGGACTTGGCTGCCCTCAACATGCAACGCAGCCGGGACCATGGTCTCCCAGGTAAGGGAACTAGACCATCCTTATGTCCATGGTGGGATCCAAAAGGCCATGACAGGATGGGAGGGGCTTTGGTATCTGGGTTAGCTCAGGCAAAGGCTCTCCCCCAGGATCTCTCTTCTCCTTACCAGCAACGTTCTACCTGACCTTCAGGAACTCAGTACTTCCTAACTCAGGCTGCTTAAAGAATTGTCATCAAGGGGTTTGACCCATAATTCTTTCCAAAATGCACAAAGGGTGGTGTGAGTAGTAGGTCAGACCTTTCTTTGGCCACTAATAATGTTGGGGCAACGTACTGAGCTCCAGCATCAGTTTTGCCTCCCTCCCAGGCTGGGGGAGGGGGGGAGAGGGAGAGAGAGAGAGAGAGAGAGAGAGAGAGAGAGAGAGAGAGAGAGAGAGAGAGAGAGAGAAGAAAGAGAGAGAGAGAGAGAGAGAGAGAGAGAGAGAGAGGAGAGAGAGAGAGAGAGAGAAGCATCTCTTCCACCTAGCTTATTGGCGGCCTATGTTGGAGAAATGAGATGTAGTTGTTTGGGTCCCTTTGAGCTACAGACCCAGGAGGGGACCTCAGTTGTTTCCTGCTCCTTCCAGCTTCCCCCCCCTCCCGCAGCTGAACTCAGAAATGTTTTTCTAATCCCCATTCTGTCAGTTTCTCCAGTCCTATCTCTGGACAGCCAGGGCCACATTCTTTTGTTTCTTTGGAGGCTGAGCTGTAGCCCACATGGTAAATCTCGGCCCAAGGTTCATGTATCTGAGCAGTTGCCCCACGGAAACACTGGCTCCAAGCCTGGCCTAGCCAACTCCTCCTGACTGGGTTCTGCTGGACCTTGACCCTTGGGAGCTGGACTTCTCAGATTCAAGTAGTCAGGCTATCCTCAGATATATCCACAGCCTGGAACAGTGGGAAAGTGATGGATTTGTTGTTAGAGAGCCTGTTTTTATGGTTTAGCTCTACCAGTATGTGTGACAGTGGGCAAGTCATGTTAGTCTCTCAGTGGTAAAAACCAGGGGACTGGATCAGATAAATCCCTTCCATCTCTATGATTCAGTTTGTCTTTGACCCCTCCCATCTACATTATCCTTTACGACCAATTACCTAGCAGGATAACAGTCATTTGGCACATGGCTGAGTCAGGTGAACCTGACTAGATATTGTGATTACACAAACTGCTGTGCGTACATGCACATGCTTACTGCATGGAAATGTCAATGTTCTCAATTTGATGAGGCTGGCCAGACTTGTGCAAGGTGGCTGTGCTTTCTGGAACAGTGTGGTCCTTACTGGAAGGCAGGGAGCTCTGCATTCCAGCCCAGAGCTGGATGACCAAAACCTCCTGAGAGTGAAGTTTGGTGGGAGATGGGGGGGGGAGACTGGAACTGCTTCCTTCTACCCCCTCAGGGTACAATGCTTGGAGACGCTTCTGCAGGCTCTCCCAACCCCGAACTTTGTCCCAACTTGCCCGGGTGCTGAAGAACACCAACCTGGCAAGGAAGTTCATGCATCTGTATGGGACTCCTGACAACATCGACATCTGGGTTGGTGCTGTTGCTGAGCCCTTATTACCTGGGGCCAGAGTAGGGCCCCTCCTGGCCTGTCTTTTTGAGAACCAGTTTAGAAGAGCAAGAGACGGAGACAGGTGAGTGGTCTTTATTTGAAGGGAAAAGGAAAGAGAACACTAAAATTCTCACCTAAGAGTTAAAGTGAGGAATGAGCGCTTTTGATGTGCCTCATTTCTTTTGAACTGGGAAGACCAGAGCAAGCCCAAACTAAGATTCTGGCCCTCGGGTGGGCATTTCATCCAGGAACAAATTTCCCACTTCTATCCCTACTGCTAACTTTGCCTTCAGAGTCTTGTGCAGTTGCTCCCTCCCACCCTGCCCTACCACAACGATTTTCTTTGCAGGTTCTGGTGGCAGAATCGAGGTGTCTTCACCAGGAGGCAGCGCCAGGCCTTGAGGAGAATCTCCTTGTCTCGAATTGTCTGTGACAACACTGGTATTACTACCGTCCCCCGACACATCTTCAAGGCCAACATCTACCCAAAGGGTTTTGTGAATTGTAAGAAAATCCCCAAGCTGAATCTCTCGGCCTGGAGAGGCAGATGAGGACCATGCAGGTAAAAGGAGCACCTCCATTCTTAGGGTTTGGAATCATCCTCCTTGCTAGTGAGCTCAGTACCCAGGCTTCTAGAGGGGAAGGGAAGGACTGAGATTCACACTCCGTATTGGATGGAGAAAATCTCTCAGGGGCTTACTAATTACTTGGTTGTACCCAGGGGCTGCTGTTTGTCATTTCCAAGATCTAGGGCTTTGGGTGACAGTTCATCTCACCCTGGACTTGCTGCCTCATTTCCAGGTTCACTGACTGGCTACATTTTCAATCACTTCTGCTTGTTCCCACAGAAGTCCATCCAAGCCTCCTCCCTTGGCCAAAAGGAGTGGTGGAGACAGGGCAGTCAGAGGCATCCAGGAGGACCACCCTTTCTCCCCGAAGTCCCACTTCTTGCTGATGCTTTCACTGGCTTCACTCTCAAAGCCAAGCTTCCTGCTTGGGATCAGCAGTATGAGTTCACTGGGTACCATGCGCCAACCCACCTCAGATGACTTCTGGTACCAAGCTTTCACCCCGGGCTCCCAGCAGCATGGGCCTGAGAAGTCACACTAAGACTAATGGCTATGGATCCTGGACCTGCAGAAACCTTGGGGCTCCACGCCAGAGATGGAGTTGGCAGTGGGCTCCCTGGCCCTGGGGCAGAAAAGTCTCTTTTTCTAGATCTCTGAGACTCAGACACCTCACAGTCCCACAGATACCTGCAAGAGTCCTCCTCTGGGGCTAGAACAGATTCTTGGACAATGGGCCAAGTGTTACATCCTGCTTCTGCCAATAAAGCATTGCTGAAAGCAGAATTGTCGCTGTTTGTGTGCTTGGGGAGGGACGTTCTCATAATCTACTCCAGAAGAGGCTGGGGGGGGGGAGGCGGTGAGGGAGGAAGGAGAGAAATAGTTAAGAAGGGAGAAAGGGAAGGGGAAAGAGAAAAAAATGTTATTAAGTGCCCCCTATGTGCTAGACACTAGCTTAGCACAGCCTTTGGTTAGGGTGATATGGCCAATCTCTTATCCTTGGGAAAAGCACAGAATGTTTTATTTTCTATAACTTACAGGCTGATTTAGCCAGAGGAAGGTGGTTCAAGGCCAAGAGCATTATGGGTAGTTGCTACTGTGGATTTTCCTTACCTCTCACTGAAAGAGAGTTGTTGCACCTTTCTGTCTATATGCCCCCCTGAGGAACAAGCCCACTAGGAGACCCTCTGAAGAATATCATAAGTAGTGAGTATGAAAGGAGAAAGGTGTTAGAATCTCTTAAGCAGGGCTAGTCTACCATATCACATAGTTCTGAGAGAATATGAGTGTCCCAGCAACCTGGGTGGAAAATTAGACAAGAAAACATGAGAAGGTATAAAAACAAGTTTTATGTTTAAAACCTAAAAGCAAAAACCCAGCACTCAACAATGTATATGAGTTAGGTTGGATTTGGCAGGTAAGATACATACCCATGCATATTCTCACAGACACACACCCTCCCCACCACAGAGATATACTCACCCCCTACACACACACACACACACACACACACACACACACACACACCCTCCCATATCCTCCCCACCATCACACATAATTTGCCTGAGGCAGAAGTCACAAAAAGAAGATGGTTTCAAGAGAGGCAGCACTCTGATGGTAATGAATACCCTGACTCATTTTACCTCTTCTTTCTTTCTGGCTTCCCTTGTGAGTCATGGAATCACCAAACACCTTGGGTCGTGCCAGTCTGGGGTTCCCTGGAGGGACCGAGCCTGCGACACAGAGTCCCTCTGCCTGTGCAGCCCTCAACCCAGCAAATGCTGTAACAAGATACAGACACAGATGGAAGGCTGTGCACGAGCCGCAGGGCAGCCCATGGTCTCATAGGGTTTGGAATAGCTGTTGTTGGTTCTCAGGGAGCAGCTGACCAAGGTCCACGGAAGGACAGGAGGATGGAGGAGAAGCAGCCCTGGCCTTAGAAAGCATCATAGCTGGGGCTGTTGCTGGCTAGGAGGCTAGAGCGTTGAGGAGCTCACTAGATCCTGAGGAAGGTTTTCCCGAGCCTCCTGCATGCGGCGTCGGGCTCGCTGGAAGGCCTCTGAAAAAGCAGCAGATGAAAAGGGATTTAACCTGCCTGTTCAGGGGAGACTAGGCTTGTACGGGAAGCCAGCATAAGGAAGAAACCTACCTAGCACATTAGTAACACTATCTTGCTTGTAGAATCCTCCCAGTACACTCTGCATCTTCTTCCAACCGAAGCCAGGCTCCAAAAAGGCCCTATTGAGGAGCACCAAGAATAGTCAGTAGAGTCTGGATTAGGTATGGCGACCTGCCATGTGAGTGAGCACCAAGGCCACTTACTTGGACTGCTGGATGCAGTGAAAGCGGAAGGTGACACTGCCTGTTGTCTCAGTGCGGAACCCAAAGCGGCTCAGACGTTTCCCCTAGGGAACAGATGCAGAACAGCATCCATGAGCTATACTACCCTATATTACCTCAACCAGCAGGCATCCTCACCACTGCTAAGCTAAAGGTGGGCTCAGAATTCCAAGTTTAGGAGTAGCTCCAATTTTACCAAAGAACAAGGTGCCCAACACAGATAGCTGGCTTCCTGTAAATCCTCCTTTTTCTGTCTTAGACCAGCAGCCTCTAGGGAGGAGAGAGGAAGAAGGGGATTTTCTGTTTTCTGAAATTGGCAGTACACTTACAGCTTACTTTAGAATGTAGCGGGCAGCCTCCTAGAACCTACGGCATCACAGGCAATCTTGACTGTGGGAAGGAAGGGAATCATCCCTAATGCCAGAGCAATGGACAAGTGAATATGGGACTTGTCCCATATTTCATTTCCTACAGAGTAACAGGTTTGAAGTGCAGGGTTCACTTCCTTGGACCCAGCCAGGGAAAAACTCACCTTGAAGTTCCCTGGTATTCGCACATATGATAGGTCTTCCAGTTCTAGGGAGCCCCCAATGAAAAACCTCCTCAGTTCTGCCAGAGTTCCTAACTCCACTGGCCTCCACGTTGAGACTGTCACAGTATGAGACCCTATTTTGCCAAAAGGACAATAAACATTTGGACCAATAATGAATTGGCTTTTAGTGGAGTTTCAAAATAAAAGCTGCCTCCCCTCTCAAGGCCCTAAAACCAAGGGAGTTTAGAAGAGACACTAAAAAGTCCCAAGAATGTCACAAGCTGAGGAAGCTAGAGCTACATCCAGCAGTCCTTAATGGAGAAGGAAAATACATTGAGAACTTCAGAGAACCGTGAAATACTTGTAATTCAAATGTCTTCCAACCCCTAATTAAAGTGCCTTTACCCCAGAAACAGAATCACTCTTTGGAAAATCTCTAGTTCTATGATCTGCTTACTGAGGGCCTACAGCATTTTTACAACAGGAAAGGAAAAAGATGGGTGGATTTACCTGGTGCTAAGGGCAGAACTGTGGACCCGTAGCCTTCCACTCGATATCTCTGCCAGAAATCCAGTGAGATGACCTCCAAGTACAGCACAGGCCACTGAGGGAGATCAGCTAGGGGTACATAAGTAAATGAGAGTGGCACCCAGTTACTGCCAAGGAATGGCTCTGGATCAGCAGATAAGGCAGTGTGGAACAATGGGAAGATAATGAGTGTTGGAGTGAGAGGACTCAAATTCAAATCCTGACTTTCATTATTTGCAATTTGCATGGCCCTGGGTGAGTCATTTCCCTTCTTGAGGCTTCAGTTTCTTCATCTGAAAATAAAGGGCTGATGACCATGGGGGCCCCTTCCAGATCTAAATCTACAAGCCCATGACCAACTTACCGAGAAATTCATTCTCATGGAATAATGAAGCCTCAAACGTGAAAGGGTAAGAGAAGTAAGCCACTTCATCCTGGAGGGGCAACAGAATGATCATTAGGCTACATAAAACCTCACAGAACAGAAAAAGCAGCCAACAGAACTTCTCCTGAACTAGAACCATTCAGAGAGTCACTTTTGTGAGGCTGCTGGAGACCTGGTCATGCCACCCAGGGACACAAGGACACAGCAACTCAGAAGCAGAGTCGAAGAGCCTCCCATACAAAGTGTGGCCACGGATGACTTCATTTGTGATACCTGAATCCCAAGAACCCAGCACAAGTGCCTGTCACATAGCTGGTGCTCAATATATACTCACTGACTGGTCACCTGATTTTTCGAGGGGCAGAAATGATTCCCCTGTACCAAAGAGACTAACTGAGGCCTCTAAAGGAACATGACTCAGCTCCGGACACATGCCTGTATTATATGTCTGCCTGATAAAGGAAGGGCTTCAGGTGCAATCCCCAAAGCAGATTTTCAGCTCTCTTCTAAAGAATCACCCTTCTCTTTCTCCTTACCATTCCTACTGATTTGGTAACACAAGTCTGTGTTACTCCTGAGAGCTGCTGAAATGGCGGACTTGACCAGTCTAGGAAGCAAAAACCAGAAAGCAGTTAGTCCACTAGCACCTTCAGAGGTTGCAGTCAAGTGGCCTAGAGCAAGACAAAGCACCCAGAAGAATCATGGCAGCTCTTAGAGCCTTGGATAAAGCCAAGTGAAACAGCCGGGTACCAGCTCAGTTCTACTATGTTCTGGGCATGGGATAATGATGATGATAATAATAGCTAGCATTTATACAGCACCTTCAGGTTTACAGAGCACTTTACAAATGTTACATCATTTTATTCTCACAACAACCTGGGAGGTAGGTGCTATCATTACCCCCATTTTACAGGTGACAAAACTGAGGCACAGAGAGATTAAATGACTTGCTTAGGGTCACATGGCTAGTAAGTGTCTGAGTCTGGATCTGAACTCTGGACTTCTTGGTTCTAAGTCCAATGTTATATTCACTGTACCCCCTAGCTGCCTAAGGATGCAAAGGTCTCTTCCTCAAGAAATTTGAGTAGACCTGTTCTTTCCAGCAAAGTCTCTGCTTAGATCTGTGTTAAATAGTCAGTCCGAGAAAAGGGAAGAGGACATCCTACTTGGCCCTAGGAAATAACAATTCTGTTAGACACTCTCTCTGCCCCAAGCCATTGACCCCAGGGGGCCCTGAGCTCGACAAGCTTCCCCTAGAAGCTCCACCACAGCTAAGGACAAACTGAAGGAAAAGTATACACTAGAACCTATTTTGCCTGTACTCTGAATTAAGTGGCAACATGAGTCTCTCCCTGTGGAAAAGCATGCCATGAATTGTTGAGTACCTTCTTCGAGGTTGTGGCATTACTTACTATCAGGCAACTCCACAAAGAAGTGCACATAGAGACTGTCATATTCATAGCCCTGGGCTGAAACTGAAAAGAAAGGTAACAGTGGGAATGGGCCTCGGTGAATTATTTCAGCATGTTACACCCACACCCAACAGGGTCATCAGTGGCTCTGCAATACAGTCCTTCATGGTCCTGACCTCCAGCCATCCTTCAGGTTAACCAAAGATGCCTTAATGACTGAGCCCAGGGAAAGCTCAGTACTCCAGAACACTGGCATCACTGACATCCCAAGTGATTCTGACTTCTGTGGGCTAAATGTAGGACCTCCTTTAGGGTGTGGTGGCTCACCTACAATGTCAAGTGCTGCCTAAGGGATCTGCCCAAGCATGAGGGACCACTATAATGATCAAAGGCGATCCAAGCAGTGTTTTAAGGTTTGGGAAACACAACTCAAGAGTATCCTCGCAACAACAGCATGAGATGACTGCTCCAGCTATTACTGTCCCTATTTTAGAGATGAGGTGTCTGAGGCACAGAGGGGGCACAATGACTCACACCTATGGTCACAGAATTACCAAATGATGGGGCTGGGGGTCAAACCCAGGGCTCTCCTGGCTCCAAGTCCAACCGCTTCTGTACTCTACCACAGACTATCAAAACACTTACCTACTTCTCCGTTTACGAAGAGGCGCAGGGAGCCAGGAATAGCCTAAAGCAAAAAGTGGAGAAAAGATTAGGAAGTGCTAAAAGATGCTGTCCAATAACCAGAGTGCCACTTCCAGGGGTCACAGATACAAACCATTAAGGCAAAAGGGACTTAGAGCTACTACCTGATCCCAGGTGTCAGGACCTTGGGCTGTGTGTGACTACTACCTCCCACTAATGTACTATTCTCTTATCTCTGAGAAGTGGAAAAAGAAAAAGCACAGAAGGCAAGTGAAAGAGATCAAAGCAATGTGGGAGACCAATAACAATGGGTCGAGGACAGCAACAGCAGCTGCCCCCTGAGGTAGAGTGGAGAATGAAGCACCCAAGTGTCCTCTTTTTCTTGCACGGCAGAAGGCAGGAAACCACTAGTGGATCCCACCAACAAGAAAGCCATCCATTTCTGTAGACTTAGATTTTGGATTCAGAGCCAGAAAAGAACCTGGCAATTACCTAGCCCACCTATTTTATTTTACAGACACCTCTAGGCCTCAATTTCCTCACTGAAGCCCAGAGTGACCAAAGACACACAGGGATTAAGTATAAGCAGTGGGATTTAATCCCAGATCTTCTGACTCAACACTCAGTGCTCTTTCTACTATGCTGTGCAGCCAGACTTGGAAGCAGACCTTCTGGACAGAGGATGGAAGAATCCCAGCATAACCAACTTAACTTGTTTTTTGTTAAAGAGTCAAGGAACTGTTGATGGATGGTGCTGATACCACTTCTCACTTCCTGGCTCTTGAAACAAAACTGCTCAGGAGGTGTGACAAACATACACTTGTGTGGCCATAGTCATCTTGCTCTGAATTCACGCAATCAGTCCTACTGCAGGGAACTAAGGCTACTCACCATCTCAAAATCGGAACCCACAAGGCTGCTGAGGTACTCCTTGTGCCGGCCATAGAGCTGAGGAAACAAACCAAAAAGCAGAAGCTTTTCTCCCTTTTCCCCCGGGTTCTAGCTCTGACTAGTAAGGGGATGAGAAATAACAAAAGGGGAAGACATAGAAAACTAGGTGACCACAGCTGGTGCTGATTCTCTGGCCAGTCCTACATCCCAACCACAGTGAGGCAGAGAAACTGCTGCCCCCATCCTTGGACACAGTCTCAGCTCCCAGTCTCTGAGGCCCACCCTGCAGAACTGTAGGAAAAAAGGAGGCCTTACATCCTTGAACACACGCTGTTCACGCTCTTCTTCCTCTCGCTGTGCAGGTGAGGAGACATTGCTAATTGTGTACTTCCACACCTCCTGCTTCTCCCCCTCCATTACAATTCTGCTCAGATCACAACCATGAACAAAAGTTAGGGCAAAGACATTAAGCCTGGGCAAAGCAGATGTGACATCTCAGGTCTGGTCTGGTGTGTTTGCCTGTTAGTAGCTTAATTTATACCTTCCATAAGGTTAAGTATGGTTGGCTGTCAGTAAGTACATGACAGTTTAGGATGGTGTGGGAACAAGATCTGACCCCCAGCTTAATTTCATCCATTCCTTGAAACAAAACTGCTCCCAGGAAAGAAATTCAGAAGGAGACACAGACAAGCAGAATACTTTGTTTTCTATTATTGTGTTAAACATAATATACGCTCAAAAAAACTGCCACAGGATCTCACAGTTCCATATATAACCCCCTTTTCTATTTTGTTTGTTGAAATTTTATGGTTAGTAAATTAATAATAAAAAAAAGTTTGTTTTTTTTCTTTTAAATCCTGCTCTAGTCACTGTTCCTGAGGCAGGCTATTCTATTAAAAGTAGAGCTTCCAAAGTGAACAATGAAAAGGAATCAGACTTTCTTAAAATCTCAGCTTCTGCCTTCAATAAATGAAGTCAAGGAAAAAGATTTCATCCCACTGTACTCTCCTCAACAGCCCTCCCCCTTTTCCTTACCTGTAAGGCCCTTTGTTGTCTGTGAAATCTGGTTTTACTGTGATCACTCCATTACTGTCCACTTTCAGAGTACAGAGGACTTGTTCGTAATTACTCTGACCAAGCCTACAGACCAGGAAATTAAGACTCATGTTCAGGGGGCTTACATCAGCACCAAGGACAGAAGGGGAGGACATCAGAAGGCCAGGAAACAGATGAGGTGCAGCTCCCTTTCCAATCTCCCCTGGAACATAACTACCACTACAATGCACAGTCTTCCAAAACAAAACTGAGAAAGGCAAAGGTTCCTCCCACTCACCCCCACAGTGACAATGATCTTCCTTTCCCATAGAAAAATATTATAGGTCAAGGAAAGAGAGGACGGGGATCTGGGCAGCGTGGTCAGAGGTCTCACTCACTTTCTGTTGGGTCCCAGGTCTGCCATGATGTACATGGTCTGAAGCGGTGTGTTGATGACATGGTTGCTCCTAATGAATTCTTCTGATGGTTCCCAGGTGATAATTCGGGACTTGACTATACTACCTTCCCTGCAGGAAACATCATGGGAACACTGTTCTACCCATCCCCAAAGACTACTTCAGGCAGAGACATGGGACAAAATAAAGACTGGAAGCACCAAAGAGTGACAAAAGGGAACCCTCCACCCCTCAAGGTTGTCCATTCCACTTTGGGACAATGCTACTTCTTTCTGCCATAGACACTAAGTCTGCCTCTTTGCTACTTCTACCCCTTGTGGGGCCAAACAGAATAAATCTCGTTCTTCTTCCATGTGACACTTTCAATTATTTCAACGACAGCTATCACATCCTGCTCTTAAGTCCCTTCTTCTCTAAGTTAAACATTCCCTGTTCTTTTAACCAAATCTATTATAAAATGACCAACCTCCAGGCCCTTTGCCTCCCTGGCTACTGTTGTTGTGTCTGACTTTTTGTGACCACATTTGGGGTTTTCTTGGCAAAGATACTGGAGTGGTTTTTACCATTTCTTCCTCTAGCTCACCATACAGATGAGGAAACTGAGGCCAACAGAGTTAGGTGACTTGCCCAGGGTCACACAGCTAGTAAGTATCTGAGTTCCTGGATGCCCCACAACAAAAGGAAGGCCTTCCTAAAATGTGGCACCCAGGAATGAATACATTAGTCTAGATCTGGTCTGCTCAGGGCAGCAGGATAGTCACCTCCCTATTTCATTAGACCTACAAGGATAATGGAGACGATTGCAGGGGGCAAAACACCCAGGCTAGCTTTACCACCATTAGCCCATATCCCTCTGGCACCTGCTTGTACTCAGCCCTCGTCGGTCCTGAAGGCGACGCCGGACGTTCGCCATCCGCTCAACCAGGAATGAAGGCACCTCACTGTCGGAGGTGGTCATTTTCTGACTGTGCTGGGAAAAGACAAGAGATATATGTCATCCATCTACTCATGATAACCTGAGGCAAAGCAACCAAGGGAATATTCTTGCTTTCCGTTCCCAATCCCAGGACCTGGCATAGTAAGCAGTCACCACACAATTACCTATAGTAATGAGGGAAGAGGTAGCACAGGTGATCCACAAATGATCTCCTCTTGGCTTTGTTTTGCCTCATAATGCAAGCAATACAGTAGCCTTCTTAACTAAGCCTCGATTACACTAATATTATAATCAGTTTGCATTCTCTGAGCACATGCCAACCAAAGGTAGGGTGAGGTTATGCAGTAACATGCTATTTCATCAGGGAGTGAGGAAAGCCATCTAAGGATAAAAACCTTTTCAGGATGTCTACCCACAAACAAATTGAGCATCAACCATATTTTATTTTAATTTCCATGCAAAAAATATCCAGGACCCAAACCAGACAATTCATGCCCTGTTTCATAGCTATCCTGAGGACAGCATCTGATTCAACCAACAGCATTTACTCAGCACCTACTGTGTACAAAGCACTACACCCAACATTCTAAGACAGTATGGTAGACTGGGAAGAGCGCTGTATTTGGGTCAGACCTGAAACTGAGTTCTAGCTTTGCCATTTGCTAGTCCTTTGATGCTGTGGTCAAGTCACTTAATCTCACTGAGTCTCAGTTTCCTTTCCTGTAATATGACTAACTCCCTGCCTCCCAGGGTTGTTGTGAGGAAAATGCTTTGTGAATTGAGAACAATATAATTTTTATGTGAGGTGATAAAAGTTAAAGCAAGAGACACAGTGCCTGTGCGGGAGTTTATAATCTCAATGGAGAGAAAGAACACATGCATATGTGTGCGTGTGTGCACACACTGACACGTACATTCCCAAAACAACATGTTAGTAAGTACATAGTACAAATTTAGTGCAAGGACATAAGCTGTGAACTGTGGCCTAGACACAGCCTTACAACTATTCTGGATTTCTCTTTCTCTCTCCAAACAGAATCTTGGCTTAACTTCTGAAGGAGTTCCACATTCTAATCTTTATCTTGTACCAGCATGGAGAGATCTCGGGAGACATTTCTCCCCTGATGCAATCCACATGCCTATCTTGGTTCCCAACAAGCTCTCTTAGACATGGGTCCAACATTAATAGAGAAGAAAAGCAGTAGCCACACCCCCTGCAAACTGGGGTCACTTTATCCCAACCTGGCTGCTAGCCTAGAGCAGGAGATGCCAGGCTCCAGTCAAGTACATCCTAGTGGCTAGAACGGGTGTCCATCACATGCCTACATGTTTAAAATCTCCACACAGGGCACTGGCAGCTAGAAAGGGAGAAAAGTTCGGAGATAGCAAAACGAAGAACAAACCTCCTCCAAGTTGGTGTAGCGATCAGAATCAGTGTAGGTGAAGATCCGGCGATTCTTCCTGCCCCCAGAAGCCTCCAGATTTAAGATCTCCTGGTGGTACTGGTGATCCAGCGGGGTTTGACAGGCTGTCTCATTCTGGTACAAGTCTACCTCAAACTACAAGCACAGGGGATAGAGAACAGGTGTCCCTTGAGAAACCTCTCAAATGAAGTTCATGTTGTTTCTCACCCAAATTGACCTTACAGAATTCATTCTACTTGGTATATTTATATAGTCAACCCTCAGTTATCCAGGCTAAAGAATATGAATAGAACAGAAATGACATTGGAAGGGCTGCTGAAAGACACTAATACATTGCAAGTGAAGCAATGTGCACAAAAACATTTTAGAATTTTGCTTGAAAAGGTTACTAAGATATCTCTATCTTTTGATGCAGAGGACCTGATGCTAGAGGTAAAAACTCCAAGGAAGACAAAGACAGAAAGAAAGGTCTCATTTACACCAAGATATTCAAAGCAATACTTCTGGGATGGAGCAAAGAGATGGAAAAAAAGGAAGTGTTCAGGGATGAGGTAATGGCTAAACAAACTGTGCTACGTGGATGTAATGGATGTTATTTTGACACTTGAAGCAATGAATACGGAGAATTCAAAAAAGCATGAGAAGACTTAAATGCAGAGTAAATTAAATTAAACCAAGAGAACAATACACATAATGACTTCAACCATGTAAACAGAAAGAACTAAAGACTGAAAGTGAACACTATGTAATTACTATACAAACACTTGTAATGACCAAGCATGGACACTGAGAAGAGTTGAAAAAAATGAATCTCTCTCCTTGCAGAGCTAGATGACTATAGGTTTGGAATAGAGAATAAACTGTCAGACATGACTGATGTGTTGGGCCGTCTTCCTGAAGTGCTTTTATTTTCTTTCTTTTTGAGGTGGGTAAGTTACATTTGGAAGTAATGGGACTAGGGACTGGACCTGTGATTTCATTGGTAGAGGGAACTCCTAGATGAGGGAACTCCCTACATTAATGCAAGTCAGCACTTTCTTTCAACTTCCAGTCTTAGAGAGCTGCCCAGAGCACTGAGAGGTTGAGTGACCTGCCCAGGGTAATGTAACCAGGACGTCAGAGGCGGGACATGAACCCAGGTCTTCCTGGCTCTGAGGCCAGCTCCCTATCCACTACACCATGCTGCCTCTCATTGGAGATAAATGTGCGATCAAAATAAAAGGCATCAATAAAACTTAGATACACTTTTGTTAAAAATAAAAAACAACATAGGACAGGGCATGGATGACTAAAATCTCAAATCATCTCAAACTTCATTACGGTGAAGACCTTTGAACCTCCTCTTCTATCTGTTCTTCCCCTGGAACTACTCATTAGAAGTAACAGTGATGGGTGGGATACAAGTTCCCTCCTTTTCACTCTCTCTCCTATGGGTAAAGACCAAAAAGTAGACAATGAGAGAGAAAAGGAAGAGGAGAAACAAGGATCCTTATATCATAGGAGAATAAGTTGAATGGCCTATTTAGCCTGAAAAAGAGAAGACTCAGGGCATTCTCAAGTATTCGAGGGGCTGTCAAGTGGAGAAAGGACCAGACTTGTTCTCACTGGGCAGAACCAGAAGCAGTGGATGGAAGTTACAAAAGGCACACTTGGGCTGGATATCAGGAAAAATTTCCAAGGAGAGCTGTCCCAAAGGGGGCTGTCTCAGGAGGTCTCCAAGCAGAGGCTGCTGACCACTTGTTGGTAGGTTACAGTAAGTACTCCCTTTGTGTATGGGTTGGACTAGAGGCCAACGAGGTTCCTGAGATTCCGTGACATTGTGTGGGGCCTAAGAGCTGCCTCACCAAGGCAGATAGCAGTTCACTATGTGTGGATCTGCTGACAGCCCCCCTTGATGCAGTAGCTGCCTCTCTAGACAGTCAACAGTCATGTCTGTGAAGAGAGAAAGGGGGAGGGGGAAATGGAAGCCAGTGACTCACCTGACTGAAGAGTTTCTCCTGCCAACCAATCACCACCTCTTCTTCATCCTCTTCATCTCTCCAGTGTCCACCTACAAGACAGCAGAAGGAGCCAACTGCCTTCTCCCTTCTACCTCTACAGAAGACAACCAAGCACTTGCTTTCATTCTCCTGCCAAACACTGTGAGACTCTTAATTGTCCAACATTTATTATGACGCTGTGAGCAGAGGTCTCCTACGTCCTCTTCACTGCCCAAGTTTCAGCTCCAATTTGGCAGTAGGAGATAAACTTCAGTGATAAGTGTCAAACAGCACCACCTTGGCCCTCCTCAACCTGCTCGTTTTTGCTGGAGGAGAATCCTAGTGCCTTGAACTCACCAGATCATGCCTAGAGCTGAAATGCCTAGAGAAGAAACACAGTACCCACAGAAAGAGAGGGCTGAAAGGGAACTGACAGAAGGCAAAATGATCACTTCCAAGAAGAATCCAATCCAATCCAGTCTACTCTCACCTTTTTCAAAGAGAAAAGTCTCCTCAAAGACAAATGTTCAATTATGTCCAAGTCATTTCTAATCTGGGGAGGGGAGCGGACAGGAGGAAAGATTAGGAGGAAAGGGTATATATACAGTAAGGGAGACAGGAGAAGATGAAACTTAGAATCACAGATTTAGAGCAGAAGAATCCTTTAAGGATCATCTAGTTGAGGGATTCTTCACCTTTTCTATGTCGATCTAGCGGGCAATCCAGCAAAGCCTATGGACCACTTCTCAGAATAATTTTAAATGCCTCAAACAAAATACAACAGATTACACAGGAAAACATTTTTTGAAAGTTCATGGACTTCAGGTTTAGAACCCCTGATCTAGTCCAATCCCTTCACTTAAGAGATGAGGAAACTAAGGCCAGGAGAGGGAAAGATACTTGACTAAGGCCAGGTAGTAAACAGGAGAGCCAGGCACAGAAGCTAGGACCTGGGCCTCCAAACCCAATGTTCTTCCTCCTCCTCCCCTGAGGGGTTTTTATAAGAGAAAGAAGAAAGGGTCTAGTGACTGAATAGTATTCCTCCTCCATCCTTTAGCCAATGAAAATTTCAGATGTATACCTGACTTACAAGGGTGAATTTCATAGGCAGGCCCCAATTGGAACTCACTTTCCTATAGAAATGTTAAAAGTGGCACTCAAGATTCCCTTCATTCCACGAGATACATTTAACCAATAATGTAATCACATCTAGCCATCACTCTAAACATTATTTCTATGGGAAAATCTATCTCAAGTTCCAGCCTGAGACAAAAAAGAACACTGTCCACTTCCACAAGGGTGACCTCCCTAAGTCCCCAAAACACTGTTGCTGAGTGTGTGTGTCAAAGCTGTATGGTCAGATTCAAAGGACCAGAGATTTAGAACTAGAAGGGACCTCAAGGCAATCTAGTCCAACTTTCTCATTTTACAAAAGAGAAAACCTAGGCCTAGGGATGATAAATGACTTGTCCAAGGTCACACAGTCAGTACACAGTAGAGCCATGATTTAAACCCAAGGTCTCTGACTCCAAATCCAGCACACTTTCCAAGGTTTTTGGACCTCGAAACTTACCTTTTTTTTGCAGAGGCAATCGGGGTTAAGTGACTTGCCCAAAGTCACACAGCTAGTAAGTATTAAGTGTCTGAGGCCAAATCTGAACTCAGGTCCTCCTGACTCCAAGGCCAGAGCTCTATTCACTGCGCCACCTAGCTGCCCCAGAATTTCTTACTTTTTTGTATAACACTTTCAGATACATTATCTCATTTGGTCATAACTGCTCTATAAGGTAGATATTTTATAGAAAATTGATTCTCAGAAATGGGCAATATACGCTTACAAAATAAGGACTAGAAAGGGCTAGAACTATGCAGTGGCATGTACTCTGATAGGTTCTAGAGCTATGATATACAAGATCCTTTGTGTTCAAATCTCTTCACAACTAGCCCCCTCTCCCACCTTTCCAATCTTGTTACACCTCACACCTCGCCCTCCATTCTCCTTAGAGACTCTTCAATCCAGTGGCACTGGCCTCTGCTGTTCTAACAAGATAACTTGTTAGACACTCCATGTCCTGACTCTAGGCAATGTCACTGCCTGCAATTCTCTCCCTCCTCATCTCCATCTCCTGGCTTCTTTCACGTCTCAAGTAAAATCTCACTTTGTACAGGAAGCCTTTCCCAAGCCCCCTTAATTCTCATGCCTTCCCTCTGTTGATTATCTCCAACTTATCTCGTATATAGCTTGTCTGTACAAAGCTGCTTGCATGTTGTCTCCCATTAGACTGTGAGCTCCTTGACAGCAGGGGCTATCTTGTTCTTCTTTGTATCTGGGCATGCTTGGCACAATGACCAACATAGAGTAGCTGATGCTTAATAAATGTTTACTGACTGACGAGGTCATGGTATAAGCGGCTAGCCTACAACTAGTGCCCATGCAGAACTCCTTTGGTAAACAATGTACTTCTCCTGGAAGCAGAGCATGCTAACCACCTCACAGGTAGGTATAAAGTCCCCAGGAGTCCAGGACAAGAGCAGAGAATTCAAGAACTCAGGTCACTACTGCTTCCTAGGAGGCAGGAGGAAGGTGAACAGGAATGTTTACCCTCAGACCTCAAATACCACCTACTCCCACTACCCTTCCCAAATTCCCAACCAATTAAATCATAATATGAATACATACTGGCTGATGTTCGTGGGTTAAAGGTGACCATGTCTATAAGGTCATTTACCAGCTGAGGAGGAGACTGGTAGAGAAGGCTGCTTGAAGTGACTTTCTGGAGATGAACTCTGATAGAGAGAGAGAGAGAGAAGCCTAATATAGACAACACAGGGATGGGGTGGCCATATCACAGAGTTGGAAAAGAGTGCCATAAATGGGAGTGGGCAGCTAGGGAAGGCAAGGCTTTTCAAGAAGGCATATGGGGGGAGGGGAGGTAGGTAGATAACAGGGTTAAAGCAAAGTCTGTGATTGGGGAGAAATGGGTAACAGCATATTCAGGAATCCTGGTAGAAACAGACAGACCTCAGGGAAGTTGTGTTTGTGAGAGGAAAGCATGCTTGCGATAAAGTGTGAGGGAAAATAATTCAGTTCTCAGAGAAGAAATGTCTACCTTGGGGAGGCCCCAAAGAAGATGAGATGGGAACCATGTAACTATAGAATGTTAGGAAGAGGGGGCTTAGAAATTCTGACCAACCATCTCATTCTGCAAAGGAAGCAGAGGCCCAAAGGCGAAGAACGGTTTAAGTTCATACAGCATGGCCTCATCAGAACCTAGGTCTCCAGACTCCAGAATGCTCTACTGCAGCTCATTGATTCTGGAGAGCTAGATTCTAAACTCTGCTTGACAATTACTTTGGGGGCCTTTGGGTTGCTTCTCTCCCCAGGCCTGCTTCCCCCCTACCTACCCCCCCAAAATGAAGAAGGAAATGGACTTTATTTTAGGGCTTAAAGCTAGAAGGAATCTTACACTCAATTCAATGAGCACTTTATCAAATGCTCCTTTGTACCAGGTGCAAGATGTGAAGAAGACAAAATTGAAAACAAGTCTTGCTCTCCAGGGGCTTCCCTAAAGAACCTCTACCCAACCTCCTTGTTTCACCATTGTACAACGAATAATAAAGGAGTCCGATTGGGAGACTCCAATCAGTCTTACTTAAGTTCAAATCTGGCCTCAGAAACTTACAGGCCGTGTGACCCCGGGCAAGTCACTTAAAGAAAAAAAAACAACTCTGCTTCAGTTTCCCCATTTGTAAAATAGGGATAATAAAAGTACCTACCTCCCAGGGTTGTTCTGAGGATAAAATGAGATAAAAACTGACAAGTGCTTGCACAGTGCCTGGCACATAGTAAGCACTATATAAATGTTAGCTATTATTATTATCATTATGATTGATAATGAGGATGATGTCTTGTGAATTACCGGGAGCAGTTCCTAGGCTCATAGTGTCTGAGCGGGAAGGGACCTCAGTGGCTGGAGTCCAACCTCTTCATGTTACAAAAGAGGACACTGAGGCTGAGTGACAAGTGACTTGCCTAAAGTCACACAGGGAGAGAGCGCAGGCTTGAACCCGGGGCTTGGCGCAGGCGCCTTACGCTACCCCGACGCAGCCCAGCTCTGAAGCTCCAGGGATGCTGCGGAAGTGGGGGGAGGGGCGGGGAAAGGAGAGGCGGCCTTCGAGGCACATATTAAGTGGAGGATAGGCAGAGAGGGAGGGAAGGGGCGGGTCTGAGGCGAGGGGAAGCCGGTACCGGAGCCGAAAGTTGCGCACGGGGTCCCGAGAGCGATACACGGCCTCCCCGGTGTCGGTACTCCAGCCCGGGTCAGCCATGGCCACCGCTCTGCTGCGCCTGTGCAAGTAAAATGAGCACTCGCGCGCTCTCAGTTCCTATGGCAACGGGGCACGCCGGGAGTGGCCCGATGCGGGGCGGGGCGATGACGCAATCCCGGCTCTGGATGGACTTGCTGACTTTCTCTTTACGCTAAGAACGATTTCCTGGGCAGGTGCCTGCGTGCAGAGAGGTGCCCCGAGAATAGCGAGGCCTCTCTGCAGCTGGGGGAGTGCGATCTAGACTCTAGAGTAGGGTTGTCTGTAAGACATCCTCCCCCTTCCTTCTCCCCCCCATAGATTTCAGGGGCCCCAAATTTGTTTTCATTAACCTCCAAGAGAAATTTAGCAATTCATGATTCTGGAAAGCAGTTCTTAGGTTAGTTCGCTTCACCATGCTGCACAAGGGGCCCAAGACACAAAAAGTTAAGAATCCCCTAGCTAGATTTCAGAAAGACCTGGAAAGACTTATATGGTCTGATGCTGAGTGAAGTGAGCAGAGCCAAGAGAGCATTGTACACAATAACAGCCACTGTGCGATAACTAATATTGGTAAACTTAACCCTTCCCAGCAATACAAGGATCTAAGACATCTCCAAAGGCCTCGTGATGGAAAATGCTATCCGCATCCAAAGAAAGACCAATGGAGTTTGAATGCAGATTGAAGCATACTATTTGCTATTTTTTTTCTCTTCTGTTGAGTTTTGTTTCCTCTTTCTGGTGGTTCCTCCTGTTGGTTCTAATTCTTACTTACAACATCACTAATGTGAAAATATGTTTAATAGGAATGTATATGTATAGCCTATGTCAGATTGTGTGCTGTCTTGGGGAGAGTGGCAGGGAGGAAGGGGGAGAAAAATTTTAAACTCAAAAGCATATGGAAATGATTGTTGATGAATCCTTAGCTTGAGCATGTAATCCAACCCTGTCATTTTGTGGAGTGGGAAATTGACAGAGGTTAAGTGATTTTCCATAGGATGCAGAGGGATAGACAATCAATCTATAAATATTCATTAAGCTAATATGAAGCAGCTGGGGAGTTGGGACAGACCTGAGTTCAAATACTGTCTCACATACTGTGTGACCCTAGACAAGTCATTTAACCTCTGGCTGCCTCAGTTTTCTCATCTATAAAAATGGGGATAACAAAAACACCTACTTTCTAGGGTGGTTGTGAGAATAAAATGAGATAATATGTGTGAAGTGCTTTGTAAACCTCAAAGCACTAAATGCTATTATTACTATGTGCCACATGCTGGCACTGGGCTAATCTTGGTGTGGATACAAATACAGAAAAATAAAAATAAAAAACTCTGCCTTCAAGTAGCTTATTTTCCTTTTAAAAAAAGTCTAATTTGTATTGATAGCTTTATTTTTGTAACACCTTGATTTCATAACAATAAAAAAAGAGGAAAAAAGAGTGAAGCAAAAATAACCCAACCACCAACAGAATCTGACAATATGTACCTTTCATACCCATTGTCCCATCAACCTCTGAAAAGAAGGGAGGGAGATTCTAGGGAGCAAGCTTGGTCATTATTCACCCATAGCATTCAGTTTCCTTTTTGTTCCTTTTGTTCTTTTAAAATTATTTTTTTCAATTAAGAAATTTTTTATTAATTGGTAGCTACTTGAAGGCAGAGTTTTTTATTTTTAATTACTGAAGGTGGCCTTTGGAGTCTGTAACAACACAGACCTAACAGCTACAGAGGAGAGAGAACACAGGGAAAGGGCCAGAGAGAAAGAACATGCTCAGTTCTTGGCAGCTGGTAGGCCAGCTAAGGACTCAAGGGTGCACCTGGCGACTTGAGTAGTGGGGAAACCTGCTTTCGATGCCACAAGGAGGATCATTGGTCCAAGGAGTGCCCCCCCAGGGTGCCCTGCCCCCAGGACTGATGCCTCTGGGACTGAGCCCAACATGGGACCAGGAAGGATATTGGAGGAAGGATTGTCCCCGAGGTTGGAAAAGTAGTAGAGCCAACTCCCAGTACCCTGTCCTCAAATGACAAGAGAGGCTGGGGCTTGGTAGTGCTCCCACTTTCTCCATCTCTCTCACTGAGCCCTGGGCAAAAATCAGGGTGGAGGTAAGGTGACCTGCTTTATCATGGCTAGGTCCTCTCCTTTAACCAACTACTGTGGCCCTGCTCACCTCTCAACCTGTCGGGTCATGGACATCAAGAGGAAAATTAAGGGATATCTTGACACATACCACCCCCCCATACCCCCTGCCCCTGCCTATTTGAGGATCTGTGGTGTGAACACTCCTTCTCTTGCCCAGCCCCCTTGTAGGGAAGGGACTGATGGTGAGATTGGGGAATCAATTTTCTCTAGTTAAGACTCCCATCTCCCTTGAAGCCTGGGAGGGACTGCAATCATTAATTGAAAAATTCTTTAAGCATAAAATCCTTGATTCTTGCCAGTCCCCATGTAACAGCCCTATCCTTCCTGTAAAAAAGCCTAATGCAGAATACCAAATGGTTCAAGATCTCAGGGTTGTTAATGAAGCTGTTATTCTGTGATAATCATTTAAGATCAATAGAGCCCCAATAAGGGCCAAAAACCTCAATTGATCTTTTCTTCCTGAGTGAACCGAGAATGCCCCTTTCTGTGTCAACAGCTAAAGCTGATCAAGAGCATTCTTCTGTTTATGACTACTAAGGCTCCTTTAACCCAGACACTACCTTGATGGTGGTAAAGGAAATACAGATATCCCAGATCTGACATTTGCCTATCAATTAACACAGACATCCTGAGTCAGGTTTTAAAAGTCCTCTAAAATTGCTTGATTCAGTCAGAGTTAAAGCTCTGGCTCCATGTACATGTCGCTAACTTAAGGGAATAAGCAATATGAATTTTCTTAATCATGCAGCTTGTTGTCTCTTTAACCAGACTTTCAGGTCAACATCTGATACACCCCATAGGCCCTAACCCATATATTATAGTCACTCAGATCACTGGGGGTACCCAATGGTTTTCCACCCTGGATCCTTTGAGAGCTTTGTCTTTGAACACCTTTTTCTGTACACTTCTTCACACAGACTCACAATTTATTTTTGCCTTTGAATGGACACCCCCTGGAAAATCAAGTCCATGTCAGCTAAAAGGACAGTCTTGCCCCAAGGTTTTCCAGATAGCCCCCATTTATTTGGCCAGGCTCTGGGAAGAGATTTAAGGGAACTGGAACTAGCAGATAGTAGCTTTATTCAGTATGTGGATGATATTTTTATTTGTAGCCCCCACCTGGGACGCTTCTTTGGGTGCTACTGCTGGAGCTTTTAATTTCTTGGGCACTCGAGGCTATAGGGTCTCTTTGAACAAAGTCCAGATAGCATGCTAGTCTGTATAGTGTCTGGGCCATGAACTAACACCCACCTCTCATTCCTTAACCTGAGAAGGAAAAGACAATCCTGTCTACCCCTGTTCCAGCTGATGCTGTTTAGGGGTTCAGGGGTGCTGGGACCCCAAAATCACAATACACGGGTCCTGCCTGCAAGAATTCTACCTAAGCCTTCTTTCAGCCAAAGACAAGATTTATTAGAATATCTATCATGTTGAATAGACTCTTAAGGAGCCTGAACATTTGTAAACTATTGGCTAGATTATAAGAATCTAAGCAGTGGCTAGATTAGAAGAATCCCAGCATCTTAATGGAGACAAGATGGACCTTATATACAGAAAGCCTGTAGGAGGGATCTAGGAGTGGCTAAGTAGTACTTGAGGTAATAGAATTACCAAGGGTGGGAAGTGGCCTGGGGCCATAGGGAGGCAAGACAATGGAGGGGAGATTGGGTGTAGCCACAACTAATGGCCATTTGATGGTATTATAGCCTCCCTCAAACACCAGAGATTTGGCCATGTGGGAAGTCCAGGATTTTTCCTTTCTTGGGCCCAGATCCCATCTTCATCACAACCACTAAGAAACAACTTCAAACTTTTCTAGGCATAGCTGGATTTTGTAGACTCTGGATCCCTAATTTTGATCTTATTGCTAAGCCCCTTTATGACTCTCCTCAAGGCCCTGACTCACTCCCTCTAGAGTGGGGCCCTGACCAGGCTAAAGCTTTTGAGACTTTGAAAACTAAATTGACCACCACTCCAATATTAGCTTTACCCAATCTAGAAAAATCTTTCACTCTGTATGTTGATGAAAGGAGAGGACAGGCTTTGGAAATCCAAACCCAGTCCTTAGGACCTGACCCCAGGACAGTTGCCTGTTTTTCAAAACAGTTAGACTCAGTGGCTTCCAGATGGCCTTCATGCCTCCAGGCAGTGGCTGCTACAGCCATTCTGACAGGTAGTAAGCTAGGAGAAACACCAGACCTGTCTGTCAGGCTTGCCCAACTTTTACCCAGGGGCTCTGGAATATACCTGTGAATCCTTGGAGGATCTCAAGCTACTGTTTGGAAAGACCCTGGCCCCTTCCAGTGGACAGGTGGACAAAAAGAGGTGAAATCATACATGCCCTTTTCCTTTTATGTTTTAACCTTGCCAAAGTCTTCTTTAATTCCCTCCAGGGAGATTGTTTTTTCTCTGTACTCCTTTTATGCTAGGGAAATTGTCTTTTCTTTATATTCCTTTTGTACCTGTTTGGTCCTTGTTTGTTTAACCTCCTGACCAGGTTTGTCTCCTCTAAGGTCTGAGCTCAGGTTATATACCAACCTCCGACTGAGTCCAAGGTCTCTAGCCCACTGCATGTGGCATCAGCCAGGTTCTAAAGTCTGACTCATTGAACAGGACCCAGAGAGGCAGGGACAGCTTACACCCCTTGCTAGCAGGAAGCAGACCTGCACCCCTTGCCCCAAAAGAATTTGGGTCCAATTTGTTTGAGGGGGGAATGACAGGGTATGGGCTCTGGAACTGCACCCCCTCACCCCCAAATTTTCCTTGAACTTTCTCACCTGGCCAAGTCTCTGGCATTCACCTGAGGCATCGACTCATCCCAGAAATCCTTTCAACTGATCTTTCATTATGGCCTCACACCCAAACCTCCAATTCTCTGTTACCTCTAACCTAGCCCAGCCCATCATTGTCTGGATGGCCCC